CTCTTCTGAGACCCCCTTTACAATGTACCCCCAAAGAAATGCACACAGAGAGGACAAGTCCATCCTGCCATGGACCCCAAGTCAGGACATCTTTTTTTCCCAAGCATCCAGGACCACCTGCCCACTAGGCTTGAAAATGCTAGGGTCTATGCTTGGACTAGCTTGCTGCCTCTGGTCACTGGCAGACAGCTCCTGGAAGCACCCTCACCAGCAATGAGATCCTGCGGGCAATGCTGCTCTCTGGTGTCTTCTCCCAGTACTGCTGTTCCCTTCTGGCCTGGAGCTTGGATAGCAAAGCCTAGCTCAGTCAGGCCTGACAAGGAAGCCCTGAGGTAGATGGTGCTTCTGTAATTGCCTGTGCATAGCTGGAACTAGAGAGGGAGTTGTGATTGGCTCAGCATCTCCAGGGATTGAGTAGGGGAGCTGAGAACCTCCCTTCAGGGCTGCGCCAAGCCAGCCCGAGCTGGGGTCTCTTCAGAAGGACCAAAGATTTGGTTCAAAGCTGACTCAAGCTAGGAGGTTGCTCAGAATCCTGAACCCGAGTATTGGTTGCCTTCTAGAAAAGTCTGAGAAGGAGAAACTGAAAAGGAATAAAGATTATCTGTAAACCCATGGATATCTACTGATGACTACTTTAGAGGGTATCTGTCTTTTGAACCTATTTATGCATTTATTATAAAATTGGGTTTAGAATATACAGAGGAGATTTGTGTGTGTATGTGCAAGTCTGTGTGCATGTATATGTGTGTGTGTGCGTGGGCGTGTGCGTGCATGTGCGTGCGTGCGTGTGCGTGTGCGTGTGTGTGTGTGTGTGTGTGTGTGTGTGTGTGTGTGTATACACATCTGGAGGCCAGAAGCTAACCTTGGCCTTTGTTCCTGGAGCCATCTTACTTGCTTTCTGATCCATAGTCTCTTATTGGCCTGGGACCCTCAGTTAGGCCAGGCTGGCTGCCAGTAAGCCGCAGAGATCTGTTGGTCTGTCTCCACAGTTTGGGGTTACAGGTGATTAGCAGCCACCACACCCAGCATCTTATGTGGGTACTGGGGATGAAACTCATGTCCTCATGGCTTCATGATACTTTATCTCTTCAACCTCAGACTCACAGAGTCTGCTTCTCACTTGCTTCTGTATCCCAAGTGCTAAGAACAAAGGTATGTACTACTGTGCCCTAAAATAAACTTATTTTTTTAAATAGCAACCAACATGTCCTGAGTTAAAGAAATAGAAAACCTGGGAAAACAAACAAACAAACAAACAAAAAACCCCCCAAAACAAAACAACAAAAACCCAACTCAGGCCACTGCCAGTCCTAGCACCCAGTGGCAGCCTTTCTTTCCAGCTTAGCTTACATTTATGACCATCAACAGTAATGTACCTATTTAGCTAGTAACATCTCTGATTATCCACACATCAGTACACGACTATTATTATTATTTTTTTTTTTGCTAGGAAATATCTCACCACCTTCTGGAAACATCCTCCAACCTCTCTTTTTCCCCATCCCCCAACAAACTCAGTTCATTAGGCTCCTATGGGAGAAGCCACATTCTACCAAGAGTGTGAGGATGTATTTCTGTGAGATTGCTCTTGTAGGCCTGAAATAGTTAAAAAAAGAAGGCACGCTAGTTTTATAAATTTTGACAGGTGCTGTCAAACCCTTGCTGAAAAATTGTCAAACCTTGCACTCTGTAGTCAAGCGTGCCAGTTTTCCAAGTAGGGCTGCAGACAAAACGTTGTGAAGCTCTAGCACAGAGTACTGATCATGCAGCCTGCCAGCCGCGTGCTGGGGGAGCCCTCGTTATCACCCAGGGAAGGAAGTACTGGCTGCTTTACAGCTTCTGGAACTGGTTTAAAGAGCTTGGCTGGCCACAATGGAAGGAATCGAGCACCAGAGTATCCAGCCACAGCCCGAATTCTCTCACCCCATGGTTCTCAGGCCTGTGTCTGTCAGAACCCTCAGGGGGGTTGTGAGACGCTGGCTGGGTCTACCTACAGTATCTGGGTCAGGAAGCATAGAGTGGGCTTTAGAATGGGCAGTTCTCAGTCTCCAGAGATGGAGCACCGTGTTCCAGGGAGCACACTCCAACAACCATTGATCCTATTGCCCCACTATGGGCCATGGCCATGCTAAACTTGAGCTTTGACTGGTGTGCGTTGAAACACTGTGTTATAAACTTTGTATCCATGTGATCAGAGTCTTCCTTCAAGGTCTTTTGAATGTTTCAGGTAAGGTCTGTGGTGACCCCGTTTCCTATTTTGCTACCATGTTACATGCTGTGTGCACTTGTTATGGTGGTGTGTGTCTTTTTGCACATGTATGTCTGTGCATATGGAGGCCAGAGGTGGACTTGGAATATCTTTCCTCAGCACTGGGGTTATGGGCATGGCCTACCTCACGCAGCTTTTTCCGTGGGTTCTGGGATCAGAACTCAGGTCCTCGTGCTTGTATGATAGGGACTTTGCTGACTGAGCCGTCTCCTGAGCCCTGGAATCTTTTCTTGCTTCATGATTTTTTTTTGTTTGTTTGTTATTGCTTCCTTATGAAGATTCTTACATTTAGTGGAGACAAAGCTCATAGGAACCTTTGGGGGTTACTGTGGAGACTGTAGAGTGCTGTGACGTGGCCCGTTACATTGTAACTACAGATGGGGAGGCATGGGTGTAACTACAGATGAGGCAGGGGTGTAACTACAGATGGGGAGGCAGGGGCAGGTGCAAAGCACTTTGGAGTTCTGCAGATATGGGTCAAGATAGAGGCTCAGCGGCCAAGTGACACTGGACACGCTGTCTTGTTAGGGTTTCTATTGCTGTATTGAAGCACCTTGACCAAACAAGTTGGGGAGGAAAGGGTTTATCAGCCTACACTTCCACATCCCTGTTCATCCATTAAGGAAGTCAGCACAGGAACTCAAGCAGGGCAGGATCCTGGAGGCGGGAGCTGATGCAGAGGCCATGGAAAGTTGCTGCTTACTGGCTTGCTTCCCATGGCTTGCTCAGCCTGCTCTCTTTAGAACTCAGGCTCACCAGCCCAGGCCCACCCTCTCTCACTGATCACTAATTGAGACACTGCCTCGCAGTTGGATCTCATGGCGGCATTTCCTCAGCTGAGGCTCCTTCCTCTCTGATGACTCTAGCTTGTGTCAAGTTGACAGAAAGCCAGTCAGAGCACACGCCAATCCACTTCTCAGTCTCTAGAAAGCACAGTGTGTGCTCCGGAAGAGGCTGGATGTGGACCAATTGGATTCCCTGGGGATAATACGCCTTCTCAGTTGCTCCCAGGTGGGTTGTTGCCTCAACCGTTTTAGTGGAGGAGAGCATAGCTGAGATGACTTTGGCTGAGCCCTGGCAGGATGGAACCTTGAGGCCTTCCTTTGTTCCCTCTGCAGGAGTGCCACTGGCCTCAGGGCAGCTGCTAAGGCTTGAGTTTGGAGTGTAGCCTTTGGTAATCTCCAAACCCAAAAGCTCCTTGGAATAGAGACTGTCTCTGTTCCAGAGTGGAATGGGCTTGCCCTGGACTCTCTTACATATCTACAATAAACTTTCTCCCCCACCGTACCTAGGAGCAGTCATGCCCTTTCCTTCCCTCTTTCTTTCTTTCTTTCTTTCTTTCTTTCTTTCTTTCTTTCTTTCTCATTCAGAAACCATCTAAGCAATGTTTACTATGTGTATTTAATTGGGGCTCCCTCACAGTTTCAGAGGTTCAGTCCATTATCACCCTGGCAGGGCGCATGGTGATGGAGAAGCAGCTGAGAGTTCTTCATCTGATTTCCAGGCAGCAGAGAGAGACAGACACTGGGCATTTGAGCATTTGAAACCTCAAAGCCTAATGACACACCTCCTCCAAAAGGCCACACCCTCTATTCCTTCTCAATTAGTGACACTCCCTGATAACTGAGCACTCAAAAATATGAGCCTGTGTCGATCATTCCTATTCAAACCACAAGAAATTTAAAAGAAAAAAAAATTAAAGTACCCAGCCCACCTCTGTATTGTTCATTAACGAATCTCTTTTTTGTTTGTTTTGTTTTTTTGAGACAGGGTTTCTCTGTGTAGCTTTGGAGGCTATTCTGAAACTCGAGTTATTGACCAGGCTGGCCTCCAACTCCCTGAGATCCGCCTGCCTCTGCCTCCCGAGTGCTGGGATTAAAGGCGAGTGCCACCACTGTGCGGCTATGAATCACTCCTTAATCTCAAATCTGGATGTTTCTGTTACAAATGCCAGGTCTGAGCTAGAACCCGACAAGTGAACAAACTGCCCTGAGCATCCTGTGTGGCACTCAGCCCTGAGGTCTGAAGCAGAGACTCACCCCCCCTCCAAGTTCACAATCAACCCTCTAGAATTAGACTAGTGGGGGTGGGGTGGGGGCATGTGCTTCTGTGTATAGCTGACTCTTTGTATCTTTTGTTTTTCCTGTTTTTACTCATCATCCACCATCCAGATCACATGGAAAATTCCAGAAATAAACATCCATGGCCAGGTGGTGGTGGCCCATGCCTTTTAACCCCAGCACTAGGGAGGCAGAGGCAGGTGGATCTTTGTGGGTTCCAGGCCATCCTGGTCTACAGAGCCAGTTCCAGGACAGGCTCTAAAGCTACAGAGAAACAGTCTCGAGAAACCAAAACAAACAAACAAACCAACAAAAACAATGACAACAAAAACCAATTCATGAGTTTTAAATAACTTATTATGGTATTGTTATAGTTCACTACCTTTATTGCTATTTATCACTGTTAAACTTCTTGTGCCTAAGCCATCAATGACATTTTTTTTTACCACTGTTCTTCAAAGGGGCTGTTTCAGGTCCCCTTTGGGAGTCTCTAAGCATGTTGGCTGTGAAGACAGGGATAGTGTCCCTGTGAAGGTCACGGGGGTGGAAGACTAGCAACCACAGGCGGCACCACAGAACATTGGATCAGGAGTTATTGACGAAGCTCAGATAAAAGACACACAGCTCATAACACTCAAATCACAGGCTTTGCACATAAATAAAAGAGAGAGTTTACTTTCATTCTGCATTTATTCAACATTTCATCCAGTTAAACTGAAATGACACATTGGCTGTAAGACACCTCACTAATACTGATAGCTGCTAGTCAGTCACACACACAACTCTCTCCCACGTTAGAGAAACATTATCTAGTCACCTTACAATCTTATTGCACTTCATGTGGCTTTGTCTTCAGGAAAAAGGCTTTTTTAAAAGATCAGCAAAGATTGCCAATTTTCATTCCTTTGTTCTTTTTTTTAAAATCATGATTAAAACACACAGTGAGTATTCCTATACAAAAGCATTAAGAGGCCCAAACTTCAAAAAACAAGTTTCAAAGAGCCCAGCTCCATATCTTCTATGCATTTCTCACTATGCCCAGGCTGACACTTGGAGAGTCTGTCAGTCTGCCAACTAGCTACTGAGTTTTCACACTCACAGCTAAACATGCACTGGGGCAAGAGCTGGGTGGGGTGGGCCTCAAGGCCTGTGGCTTCTCACGGCAATGTCCGTTAGGCACCTGTGGAGCCCTGCCTTGAACTCCTGGCTCTCACTGCCATTTACACAGAAGCACTGATGGCAACAAGGCTCATCCAGAATGTCACAGGAAGCCATTGCATTTCAAGTGGCTTGGCATTTAATTCTACAGAAGATTCCAGCACATGGGGGAAGGCTGAGAGCTTCAGATCCATACAGCCTTTTAGAGAAAAGGAAACACAGACACCAGGTACACCAGTTTCTCTTTATGAGGAAATTCAATCTGGACACATTATGGGGGAAAAGGATCTAGAGAAACTAGATAGTTTCTAGTTTTTTTGTTTGTTTGTTTTTCACTTACAAATCTCTGAATTACAATGATTTACACTCAGTGTAACAAGTGGCTTGTGTATGACATGAGACATCTACAGACTTCCAACACGACCTCAGCTACACCTAACATGTGTAGAGATGCAGACATGCCACGTAATTCCCTGGTCTTCAAGCAGGGTGGAATGCAACACAAGAATCACCGTTGCTGACTTGTTCATGTATTGTCTTTGTATATTTCTTAAAGCCAGACCCAAAAAAAGAAAAAGGGCAAATAGGGACTGGGAATTGTTTTCACAGTTTTTTTTTAAAAAAAAAAAATTAAAAACAAAAAAAAACAACAAACCAGCCTCATCCAGTCACACTGCACTGTACTGAATATATTCCTAAACATTTCAGCTAATTGTTTGGTGGAAATTCATGATTATAAAGTACCTTTGAGGTCAGATTAATGATTTTGTAAGAACACTAGACAAATTGAAAAGTTAAGGGAGAGAATGAAGTACCACGGACACATGCTAACTGCAGGGTGGCTTCACGCCCCGCCCTGGAGCCAACTTTGGGAAGGTGTATGGAGTGTGGACCTTCTGAACCTCAGTGTAGTTCGCGTCCTTTGGACTGGTCCATCGAGACAAAGTTTCCTTAGTATTTAGCTCGCATATCTGGTCTCAGACCTTTGTGTTTTTCTAATTCATGGCCCAGACCTCTGTGGCACAGAAGTGGAAATGAAATTGGTATTTGAACAGGTAACCTTTCCAACGACTGACAACCAACGTTGACTGAGCGGCACCTGGAGCACCTATGCTGTGCCTAGCGGTGCTCTGGAAGCTCCAGGTGAGGGCTTTGAGAAAATGGTGTCATTAAAGTCTACCAGAAGGGTACGTTTGTAAATTACAACATGATCCAAATGTCAGGCCCCTGACTGGCACTGGGTGCTATGTCAAGGGGCAGTTTGACTCTAATGCAGATCTTTAGAGGTTTTTGTAACTGGCAAGGCCCCGTCACACTAGATTTCCTCGCTGCTGTGGCTTCGGGAGGTTCCCAGATGGCAGGAGGAGCCTCCAGGGCTTGATCTTGGCTTCACAGGCCCTTGTTAAAGTACACGCGCCGTAATTCAGGGTGACTCCTTTGGATGCTGGCTTGCAACTCATCCTCCAAGCTTGTTACAGACATGGAACTGGGGCAAGGCAGAGGGAACAAGGTTACCGTCTGGGTAAAGAGGAGGACCTGAACTAGGAAGAGCAGGGAGGGGACACCGGCTCAGAGACCCAGGGCTGGAGCATGAACACACCGGAAAGGCTGCACAAGGCTACAGAACGAGCATTCTGTGCCCTCTAGAATAACTACTGTCACAACAAAGAACTGGGAGAACTAATTGCTAAGCCTGTTTACCTCTGTTATTTCAAGCTGAAAACGGCTCATTGCTGTAAGAGCACATGGCAGTGACATGCACAGGCCTGCGTGACTGTAGCGCTGTGACTGCAAGCAGCTACACAAGCTAAGGGCAGAGCTGTGGTCAGGGAACCCATTCTGGTAGACAAACACTACAGATGTGCTTGTCTGCGGCTCCAGTGAAATGAATCATGTTAAAGGTTATAGAAGCAAAATGTGCACCAGGCAACCACACTCTCACAAATGCTAAAATGTTCTCAAAAGTAACAGTAGGGGGCAGAAGAGAACTGGGCAGAGGGAGTGCTGAGGTTCCCACACACCGGAGCTTGTCTGCCCACTCTCTCTCTTCCTTTGAGAGGCTTCCCTGGCCCTTTACAGACCTGACTTCTCAGCACTGAAATCAATTTATCCACACTTATGTCTCCAGTTCATTTTAAGGATCAAAGTTCACAGTGATTTTGTAAAAAAGATAGACCACTTACCTCTTCTGAGGAAACAGAGCACAGCACAGGGGGGTGGCGAACACCAAACTTAAAAACAAACACAACGGCAGATCAGTGGGGCTGAAGTGGTCTCTTCTCGGCTTCCTTTTCTCTCCATGTATGTCAGTGACAACCTCTTACTGCCTTACAAATATGTGCTGCTTAATGGCCAAAACGATAAACAAAAGCCCCAGGAACAAAGGGGTGACTTCGATGCACATGAGCACACTCTAATAGCCCTGAATGTGGAGGCTCCTGTGTAGACAGTTTCCATCTTTTTAACTATTGGGCCACAAATTCCAGGCATCCTGCCTCCCACAGGCAGCACAAAGGACTTATATGATTTCTGTGTTGACTACCGTGGTAACTAACACATAATAACACCTTTTCAATAAACACACGCACAACAGTAATAATAGCAGCTATTAGGTTTTTAATGGTTCATTTCCACTTACCAAAAGCCAACCAAGGTGACTTGAATTGGTGCACTCATCCACGGGAACCTCTGTATTGAGGAAGGCACAAGTGTGAATATTCTCCTGTGACAATGCTTCAAGACAATCTCTCCTCCTGACTAAACAACACCCCCACAGTAGAAGACCCAATGCAAGGTTAGCGAGACCTTGGGCAATGAATGACCAAGAAGTAAGCCACCGCTCCTCCAAGTGTACACGAGGTAGGGGATTAGCTAGCTAGCATTTAATTATAGTTTATCTGCTGTTAGGGAGGCAGAAGAGCTCAACACACAATCTGGAAGACACATGACCTTGCATTAAATCTCTGCCTCACCAGCATTGAAAACCTGTGTGGGAAAAGCAGGCAGAGCCCGGGCTTTGTTAGGATGCAAAATGAGCAGTGCCTCTAAGGGTGAAGATGAAGACAAGCTAGGAACCCAGGACAGTGACTGAGTGGGAGGAGCCTAGCAGAGTGGGAGGAGCCTAGCAGAGTGGGAGGAGCCTTGCAGACACCAGGCTCCACCTGCTTGCACATGCTCTTTCATGGGTTCAGTTGCTGTCAGTAGGTTAAAACCATTTCCAGGATAAAATATCTTTCCTAGTCATGAATGAGTAGGTTGGTCTTTGAGAAAATAAACATTGTTAGATATTTAGTATTTTTAAAAAGGAAAATACATAGCACAGGACACAGGGTTATCTCAGTAAGACCAAAGGAATTTCTGCAACTGAGTTCTGAGTTGGTTGGGATGCAATCAGCCACTCAGTTCTGAGTCACACAAGCTGTTGCAAGGTAACGTGCAGAGAAGGCATACCCTGGTGCCCAAGGCGACTTCTTTGCTAAAAGGGGTCATCGGGAGGGAAGAAAAGAAGGAATGAAGAGGAAAAGGGGAAAATATCATCAAAATGAAACCAACCCACAGAGGCCATGCTGGGGGGGGGGCTTAACCTAAAACACTGAAAGAGGAAGCTGCTGTCACGTGCCACTTAACGACGGGATATGTTCTGAAAATGCATCCTTGGGCCAGGCTGTCTGAGTACCCACTAGAGTACATTCTAAATTCAGCTCACTGGGCTATATCATTTCAATACATATACTCCTCCACCTCTACACAAGTAACTGGCTGGGCTGTTTGATGAGGGAGACTGCTGGTGGCCATGTCAGAGGAGATACAGTCAGCAATGGAGCCCAGTGGACATCAAAGCGACACTGGGTACATCCTGGAGAGGCAAAGCCCTGGGAGGATTGTCTCCAGGATACCCTGCTTCAGCTGTGCTTCCTCCTGCTTGCTGCTGCCGTGTTCCTGCTGTATTTGGCATGGTGTGAATACTACATGAAAGGATCCCACTGTAGCCAGGACACTGTGAGTGTTTCTTGGGAAAATCCCACTCCTTGCTGGGCAGTTTACTTGCAGATCGTAATGAAGATGATTCTTATAAGAGCGATGACGATTAGTTAGATCTGTGACTTAACTGGACTTTCTGAGTTAACCTAAGATACAGATGGTTAGGACAGTTAATAAAGATGATTAGGGACATGGTTTGGGCTATTCTGACAATTGTTCCAGTAAGAGATACAAAAAGAAAAAAAAAAAGAGGCAAAAATAGGCTAAAGGTCACCTTCTCTTTTGTTGGATGTGAGATTGTTAGAATACAGAAAATAAGAATGAGGAAGTTTTATGTCTTATAGACCCATGAATTCTGCCTGTGGAAAGACAGGCTGATGATTAAAGAAAGCAATTATGTTCCTACACCCAGGGTTAGGTCTGAGTTCCTTGGTCATGTAACTTACAGAATTAATCACAGGCCCCAGTATGCACCTCGAAAAAAACAAGACTGTGCAAGGAAATTAAATGACCTTATTGTGCTAAGAAAATAGATGGTTAGCTGACTGCTTGTTTCAGGTTTCTTTATAGGATAAAAATTTGCTACATTGAAACCGCAAACTACTGCTTGCCAGTACAGAAGGAACTGGCTGAACTACAGGTGGCTTGTTTAAAACTCTGTTAATCAGTTATAAAAGAACCATTGTTGTGACTACAATGTGATTTCTTCCTGTGTAAAGATTTTAATTTATTTTTGGAAAGTATGTAACTTGTGGCTACAGGGTAATCTTCTTTTGTGTAGAAATTTTTGTCTTAGGAGGTATAAAAAGGATAAGAGAAAAATAAGGAAAGATGTCAAAGAAAACATCAGGGGAGATGCAGAGGAGAGCATTGGGGAGATGAGGAGAGCATTGGGGAGATGAGGAGAGCATAGGGAGATGAGGAGAGCATGGGGAGATGAGGAGAGCATGGGGAGATGGGGAGGAGAGCATGGGGAGATGGGGAGGAGAGCATGGGGAGATGGGGAGGAGAGCATGGGGAGATGAGAGGAGAGCATGGGGAGATGAGGAGGAGAGCATGGGGAGATGAGAGGAGAGCAAGGGGAGATGAGGAGGCGAGCATGGGGGAGATGAGGAGGCGAGCATGGGGGAGATGAGGAGAGCATGGGGAGATGAGGAGAGCATGGGGAGATGAGGGGGTTGTGATAGGAGAACAACTGGGAAAGAGAAGGAAAGCTAGAAGGACAGGACAGAATGAACAGAGCAGGAATGGCAGACAAGAGAAAAATGAAATGAAGAATTAAGCGTGCGCCCTCAAAGTTTACCATGTGTGTATGCTGTTGCTCCAACTCCATGCCTCCTCTTCATTACCTGGCCTGCTTTAGGGCTGGTCTCTTGGTAGGAGATGATAAATAATTCTCACCCAAGATCCTTCTGGACATGAGACATCGAGGGTGTGCACAGCCTTAGGGGTGGGACATCGGGCTAACTGTCGAGTGAGCTGGTTCAGGTAGATGAACTTGAGCCTGTAATACTGGACCCCTCCTCTCTATTGGCCTGTCTTTCTAAGTATACAGGGGCAGACGGATCCAACAGAGTGCACTTGGGTGTCACCTCAGGATGGACACACACAAGTTAAAGGCTAGATTTGGCTGAGGGTTCTTCATAATGTCAAGGACTCTGGAGAAATCCGACTTGCTTCGAAATCCAACCCGTCATCAGCCTCATTCCTGACATCTTCACCACCCTATCCTGTCCATTCCTCAGAGAGAATTTGGTCAGAGGCCAAGAAATGGGTGAACTGAGGATGTCTGATCTTTCACTACTTATACACAAACCCCTCAGGGTAGGGACAGGTCATGCTTAACAAACTGTGAAAAAAGGAGGTACATTACACAGAAACTCCAGATGAAATAAAAATAACACCCTAAGTTTAGAAGATATGTATCTTCAGACTCACGTGGCTTGCGATACATGGTGACTTGGATATGTATCTCAATGTTAATATGAGTCTCAATTCTTTTCTCCTAATGGCTCCCTTTCCATGGACTTTACTGGCACACAATCAACTATACATCTTAATGTGTACAAAGTAATTTGTGACCTATATGTGCAGCTGTGATGCTGTCCTCACAATAAAAACAATGAGCCCGTCTTTTATCTTAAGTGCTTTCCATGTTCCTTGAGCCCTTTTGGGATTCTGCTCCTTTCCAGACCTCTGTCCTCTGCCAAAGTTGCAGCTCTGGTTTCATTCACTATGTATTAGCTAATGTTTCCTAGGTTTTGAGTTTGCTTTTTTTTTGTGCAGTCTCGTGTAGCCCAGGCTAGCCTAAGCAAACTTACTATAGAATCAAGAATGACCTTGAACTCCTGACCCTCCTATCTCCACCTCCCAATTGTTGGCATTACAGGCAGGTCCTACCCAGGTCTGGATCTCAGGTTATATACAGTATCTACTTTTTTTTTTTTTTTTTTTTGTGCTGTTACTTTGGGAATTAACTGCTTTTCATTGACAAGGTAAGTATTCCATTGAATGGGCTGAAACCCTTTCTGGTTGACTTTGGGGTTGTTTCCACTTTGATGCTAATGCAAACAAAGATGTGATTATCTTTTATGGATATTTGCTTCCAGTTCTTTTAGGAAAATACTTAGAAATGGCTGGCTTACACTGTAGCATATGTTTGTATAAGTGACTGAAGTATCTTCCAAAGTGGCTGTATCATTTTACAAACACACCAGTAGGTTGTGAGAGTTCCAGGTCCTACCCAGACTGGTCAACACTTGTTATTATCAAATTTTAACTGTAGCCAGTCCAACAGGTGTTTAACAGCAGCTCGTGTGGTTTTAATTTTAATTTCTCCAATGACTACGAGATCCCACGCCCTTTCTGTGTTCTATTTGCCTATTTTTCCACTGTCATTTTCTTGTAGGGGGTTTTAAGTTCTTCGCAAATTCTTGATGCATTTTCTTACCAAAATGGCTTTGCTGCTTGTCTCACCTAGTCAGTTTCTTGCCTTTCATTCTCTGTCTAGTTTTTGAAAGACAGAATTTAAAAATATTTTGAATTTTTTTCTTTAGTCTTGTATTCAAGAAATCTTTGCTCAAACTGTGTTCAATAATACTTTCTTTTTATACTTGTGTTTTTAGATTTAGATTTCATAAACCATGGAGAGTTAATTTGTATAGAGGGTAGAATCAATTCTCTACATGCAACCCAACCACCCACAAACCCTTGACAAGCCACTCTGTTCTCACTGCGCTTCTACAGAGAACGTGCTGCCGGCTGGTCCTCTGCGAGTCTACACCACCTACAGCTCCTCTGCTTTCTCTGTTGCCCCAAGATGAAATCACCTTGTGCTGTGGCCACTGACTCTGAGCCTCAGTCTTTCATCCTGAGAGCAAGGCTCATGCCCTGCTTCTGTGACTCCAGTACTGAACACTGCTTATCACAGGCATCCAGCAAAGGGCTCAAGAGTACATACTGTCTATGAATAAATGAAGAATGTCATATTCATGTCCATTAGCAAACAACCCCGGATGGCTACCAAGTACACACTGCAGTCTGTTATTAGAGAAACAGGAAAGATCCAGAATTAAAAGTCCCAAGACTAAGGACCTTAATCTATTAGTTTTATTCCCAATGAAAGTGCAGGCAGCTTGAAGAATATGAGGCCTATTTTTCAAGACAACTGTTCAAGGACGCACTGTATTTTAGGCAGTGAACTTTTGGTTAGCTGTAGGGACTTTCATGAGTCACCTGCCCATAGTGTGTTTTCCCAGCCCTCCATTTGGAAAAAGATAAGATGTGGGGGAGGATGAGTCATGCTCAATGTTCCCCAAGTGCCGCTGTTTAAAAGCTGAGAATGTTCAATTGGTTTCATGTTTGTAAGGAGTTGGGTTATCACAGAAAAATCTGCATTTCCAAAAGTGATGAGAAAACACTTCAAGTTCCAAATAAGAACACTGATATATTCTTCCCCAGTGTATGTTTGAATAATGGTCATACTATCGTAATGATATATTATTTATGATCTATTAAAGCTTGACTGAGGATTCAGAAAGCAAAGTCAGCCACAAGCCATGGAAGCCAGGCACACATCTTTAATCCCGACAGCCAGAAGCTAGTAGGTGGTGGCACACACCTTTAATCCTAGGACTCAGAATTAAGAGGTAGACAGATTTCTGTGAGTCCAAGGTCACCCAGATCTACACAAGAGTGAATCAGTCTAAGAGAGAATTATAGCTCACACCTTTAATCCCAACATTAGGAAAGTATATAAGACAGAAGCAAGGTCTCAGTAAGAGGCATTTGTTTTACAGTCACTAAGGAGAGGCAGCAGTTTGAGACTTGGTGGAGAGCTCATGCATGGATTAGCTCTTTCAGCCTGAGCTAGAGGTGAGAGCCAGTGGCTGCCTGCTTTGATTTACTGACCTTCAGCTTGAAGCTTGATCCCAATATCAGTCTCTCGGTCATTTATTTTTTGTGTTACACACTATCAAACAAGCCCCAAGTGCAAAGATAACATAGAAGTAGTACTTGACCCTTGAGCTTGGGAGTGTGAGTACATACGGGTCCTTCAAGAACACTTAGCCTTGACTCTTCCAAAGTAACATGCTCCTTGAAATGGGAAGGGATGCAGCGATGCAGCAGTTACAACCGGAGTCCCTGCAGCTAGGGAGGCTCTAGGAATGAGCCTGAACTATTCTGGCCATGTCTTCCCACCTCGCCACCAGGATTCCAAAGCCAGTGGCCGCTTTGGGGGTTTTATGGAGGGCTTCTGAGTGAAGAGAAAGTGAAGTGGCATTCTTCCAAATTGGAAGTGAGCCATGCTGCAAACTATAAATTAAGATGGGTAGAAAGCAGTGAGGAGTCAGTGGGTGAAGATGCTTGCGGTGTAAGCCTGACAACCTGAGGTCAACCCCAGGCACTGACAGAAAGATGGAAAGAGAAGCAACTCCAAAAAGTTGTCCTCTGACCTCCACATGTTTGCTATGGCACATGTGTTCCCTCCCCGATATATACACATACACAACAATAATAGATTTTTAAAAATTAGAATACGGTGGGGTAGCCCATGAAATGTATGTCTTTTTAAGTATGTAGAAGCCTAGGACAACGTGGCCACGGTGGCCAGAATGCTTGTTTCATCTAGTCTCTTTCATGTAAGAAAATGCCAGGATGTACACACAGGAATTTCCACCTATCACAGCTGGAAAAATGGACAATATGGCTAACGAGGCCCTCTGTCCAGTATCTGCCATGGTGAGATGGAAGTTATCATAGTAACCATTCCAACACCGAGACCCCAGGAGTTCAAAGGCATGGGAATTAGAATACTAAGGAACTGACTTCATGTCTCAGGCTCCCCCCATGGCCATTTGTCTTCCACCAACGAGATGCAAACTTTCTTATAGAACTGATGTACTTCCAAGCCATGATCAAGATGCAGTTAGAGTATACCCTGTGTCCACAGGCTGGAGCCAGGCTCTTCTGAATGACGTCCTTCCTAAAATGATGACATTCTCAGCTCCTGCGCCACCATCAAGCTGCACTGTGTACTAAGTCTGCACTGTTTGTGGAATCTTCCACTTAATATGTTTGGACTGTGGGTGACCCTACATAATGGAAACCAGGGGTTTATAGCTAACTGAGTGTGGGATTATACCAGGAAAGCTTGCGTGGAGTGAGGCTGCTACTGAAGGTGGACTGCAAACTGTTTCCATGGTTACCTACAAAATCTTGAAGACCATGATCTGTGGGTCAAAGAACTAATATTTACTATTCTTTTTTTTTGCAAAAGCTGTTACTTTTATGCCAGAAAATGAACACAGAAGATGACAATATTCAAGACTAGAAATCTAGCCTCACTTAAATAAAAATAGACTTATTTTATTATTTTTAATTATGTGTGTGAGTGCTTCTGTGTGTGTCTGTGTACGGGTATATGTACTTGAGTACAGATGCCCCAGGATGTCAGAAGAGGGCACTGCATCTCCCGGAGCTGGAGTTACAGAATGTGGGTGCTTGGGAGAGGGATGTGGGCCCCTAGAAAGAACAGAGGATCCTCTTAACCAGCAAGCCACCTCCCCAGCCCTGGTCTTACTTTTAAAGGCCAGTACCACTGGTTTTTGTCAGGAGGGGATCATTATCTAATATGTTCTTCAATTCTCTTATTTTCAGTTATCTATGCCAGGGCCTTAAGAGAGGACCAAGCAGGTGAAAAGGCTGATGGGCCAATCTATGCCCTGAGTGCTGATCATAAAGATCTGGTGCTTCCCCAGCACCAGAGCTGGCCGACAACAGCTCAGGACACTAACTCAGTGTCTGCTGTGTGGGTCCCTCTGAAGGAGGGAAGGTCCCTCCCTGCCCCACTGTTTCTAAGACCTACATCCCTGAGCTCAATTCATGTTGTAGGTTTTCTCCCCCAGGGTCTGAATCTGTTCCCATAAGTCAAGCAGAGGCTGGCAGAAGAGGGTACATGGGTTTGTTTTCAGATTATTCAAAAGCCACAGAGATTGCTGTTGGCAAACTGCATATGATCATAGGGTCTCCACAATTTCTGTCTATAAACTGCTCGTTTATACACAGAAGTCTTGAGTCAGTTATATATAAACTATCAAAGGTGACATTTCCTAAACTTTGTACTAGAAGAAGTCTTCAGTAAAATCTTTTCATGTAGCTCCAAAATAACAAGAAATTGCAGTAGGTTAAATGTCAAGAAAGGACGCAATTTCATTGTGTTCTAGGTGCGGCCTCCCCTTACCGAAGAGCCCACGGTTGCCTGGAACCTTGGACGGTACGAAGCCTGGCATGTACTCTGCTCTGCTTATACACACCTCCCTATGACCATGCTTAACATAAATCAGAGACACTTAGGAACTGACAATCACTGATAACACAATTACTAGTTATAAGAATTATTACTATACAGTATAATGAAACTGCCAGCATCACTACCTGCCCTTTGGGGCCATTATTACATGAAATAAGGGATACTTAGAAACAGGTACTAGGAAACTGTGACAGCTGACATGATAAGTGAGGTGACTGCTGAGTCACTAACAGGCCGATAATGGGAACAGCGTGGACACTCTGGACAAAGGCTGACTCACAATCTAGAGAGGAGGGAGAGCACGGTTCAGAAAGGCTCACAACTGAAAACATATGTGTTGCTGGTGTATGGGATTTTCCATTTAACATTTGTGGACTGTGGGTGACCCTCGGTAACCAAGACCTAAGAGACAGACTGCCATGCCGATAGGTTTGTGGCTTCAATATCAGCTTCTGTTTTTGCCTTTTGCTAACTTGTGGCTGAGACTCTTAGAAGCCTCCATCGTGAGGTCTTGGGATTTCCTCTGACAATGCTCCAAGAACAGAGACGTTTTGTCACTACACAGTGACTCCAATGCACATTGCCACGTTAGAGTGACAGACCTTGGATGTTTCAGAAAGTAGAGCTTGGGGTTTTTACTTCTCTATGTCCTCAGGAGTTCTGAGGGCATGGCCAAGTGTTCCTGTCCCTTACGGGGCCCAGTGAGGTGCTCACACTGTTTATTTGCAGTGTATTTTCTTGGATTATACAGTGTGTATGACACATCCACTCAGCATTTGGCTTTCCTTTTCCTACCGGGGCCCACATGGAGCACACGGACCTATGAGTCCACACGGAGCACACAGACAGCACACCCATTGTCTCACCATAACAGAAGTCTTCATGTACAAAATATCTGAGAGTGGAGAGATAGATGTTTTCAGAGACATCTTCATATTTACAGAAGTGTCCGAGGGAAACTGACCTTCAGGTTGTCACTCACTAAGGTGAAGTAGGAAGAGCAGTGAAAAGGATTCACAGGCAGGTGTGGTGGCCCACACCTTTAACCCCAGCACTCTGGCAGGCAGAGGCAGGTGGGTCTCTGTGAGTTCAAGGCCAGCCTGGTCTCCATAGTGAGTTCCAGGGCAATGAGGACTCTGTAGAGAAACCCTGTCTCAAAAAAGAAAGAAAAAGAAAGAGAAGGACTCACGAAATTACAGGAGAATGGGTCTTACCTTCAGAAAGGCTTTCTTTTCCAACGTGTTCATGATAAATGGAGGGATGGCTGTAAGAAAAACAGGGTCACTTAAATCTTTACCCAACACCTGTTTTCAGCTGAGTTTCCCTAAGAAGCTGCATCACTTTTAGGCTATTTCTACACTGGCAGAGCGAAAGACTCAAACCAAAGCAAATGTCGGACTGAAGCTGGGTGGAAACTGGGGCGCAACACTGTTTCCAGGCAGTCTGGAAATCAGGGCTCAGATGCTGGGGGCTCCATAGCCTTCTCTTTGGAGTGACAAGCATGCTGGTCCCTAGATACCTTCACAGACCACACTGGCCTCCAACTAGAGTATAGACGGGTCCCCTCGGGCCAATCAGATAACGCTGATCTTCCCCAGTTAGTGAAATGCAGCATGATCACTGCTCTCAGCATCTACAGGAGACTGGGTCCAGGACTCTGGGGCTTACAAAGTGCATGGATGTCCAGCCTTCAGAGTTGGCGTCATCTCTAGGTGAAATGTAGCTAATAATACAGCAAATAGGCACACCATGTTGTGGAGGGAATACCAAAGAAAGCCTGAAGGTGTTTAATACACGTCTTCCTTTTGGTGCTGGTTGGCTCTGGATGCCGAGCTGTGCACACACAGCGTCAACTGCAGGATGAATGGCCCTCAGCTTTCCTTTATGTACCTTTCCTCAACTTTTGTTGCTCATTCAAGCTGGCCCGCTCACAGCATCATGAGACAATGGCCAACAGCAGCTGACAGATATGCTTCATTTGAGAGCACCTTGTATGTAATAGCCAAGTGCTGTTTACACGCAGCTTAGGTAAAGAAGTTCAAGAACATGAATTCCTGGTTTCTTTCTTCGTTTTCCCTACAAAGAATGCTGTCACTCAGGGCCCTTTGAGTTCTGAGTGTCTAAGAGCCTTCTCTAGGCTCCCTGAGCGGCCCGATGAGTAGATAGGAGATTCTCAAAGGGTCCTAATATGACACAGATGTTCTCTCTGCTCATGCTGACCCCACACTATATAAATAATGGAGTAGCTGCCAGATGCATATTTCCTAATAACCGTCCTAGCATTACCACTGTCCCATGTTCCAGAGGGACCGTCAGGACAAAGTTCCTGTCTCCATGGACTTGGAGTCATCTTAAGATTTACAGCCCACCCCGCTGCTCTCTCTCTCATCAACTGTACTGCATTACTCTGGTCCAACTAGCCGTGGCCTGCTGCCTATGGTCCCAAGGAAGCCCTGAGCTGTCTCCACTCACCACGGCTGCACCCCTTAATCTAGTCTCACAGAGCACCCGTATCACAAATTCCCATGTCCAAAACTCTTCATGGTGCTCTATTCCACAGACTAAAAGAGCTTAGGATGCCCAAGTAGCCTTTGAGGCCCCTTAAAATCCTTTCTGCCTCTCCTCCTTTGCAGAGTGCCTCCCTCACAAAAGGATGCTCCTGCCCCTCTGCTGATGCCCACTCCACGTCAGATTCAGCCCTGCTAAGGAGGCCCTCCCATCCTTATCCCTACCCACCCCCTTGCCTGGCATCTTCCATCCCCAGCATTCCCTCCCGTTAGCTTGCATTACCATCTCACACACAGGCTAAGCATCCCTAACCAAAAAACCTCAGCTCTACAGTCTGCAGAGATGGCTCAGCAGTTAAGAGCACTGGCTGCTTTTCCAGGGGACCGGAGTTCAATTCCCAGCACCCACATGGCAGCTCACAACTACCTGTAATCCGTCTCAAACTGATTTGACACCCTCATACAGACATAAATGCAGGAAAACACCAATGCACATAAAACAAAAATAAATAAATCATAAAAAAACCATCTCAGCTCTGAAATGTTCCGAGATCAGAAACTTGTTGAGAACCAAATGATGTCCCAAGTGAAACTGTCACCTCTCTCAGCACACACGCGTGAGCCAGGATATATACCTACCATACGCAACGTTTGCTGCATGTACGAAATTATTAGCAATATTGCACGAAATTACTTTCAGGCCACGTGTACAAAATGTATACAAATCATAAATAAACTTCAAATTTAACTTCGGGCCTCCTGAGAAGTAGCTCATTTTATATTTATGTAAATATTCTAAAATCCAAACAATCCTAAACCTGGGACGCTTCTGAAAGCCCCAAGCATTAGGGTAGAGGATGCCCCTTTTGTAGCACGTAGTAACTACTTGTTCAGCTGCAGGCTCCACCGTCAGAAGGTAGTTTTCACAAAGGGGAGTGCCGTTTGCCGTTTTGTTTACCGATACATAAAGGCTTGGCATGAACCACACGGCAGGACCTCCAAGCTCACTCACCCATGCCGGGGGCTGCCATGAGGATCCTGGAGATGACCACCTGTGTGATGGCTTGCTTGGCAGCGTTGGTCGATTCTCCCAAGCGGGTGCCATTTTCATCAGTGACAGGAATGCCGACTTTGAGTTCCCTGAAGGGCAGAACACACGCAGAGGGGTTCACAGATGGCTCCAGGCAGCATCCTGAAGGAGGACTCTGTTGAGAAAGACCAAGTGCCTCCTTCATCCACTTTCCCACTCAAGTGTCATTTCTGGCACTGATACGTCTATTTTTAAATACCACGCACAGTTTCAATCCTCCTGTCATGGACAAGGGAAAATAGCAGAGGACTCTTTCAGAAGGATGTACCTTTCCCTAATGATAAGATTTGAGGGGTGGATATGGTAGCTCAAGGGCAAGGTTAATTTCTGTGCTCATGCACAAACCTGAACAACCTTCTAGATCAGAAACACATACAGTACATGGTGTTATTGAGTATTCCACGTATAGACAGTAATCGAACATAGCCTTGCTGGATGCTCATTAGCTACACACAATTCCTAACTCCAGGAGCCCAACTCCTGAAACTGCCCTGTTCTTTCGTTATCTGTCCAAAGTGCTTATTCTTTCTTCTCCTCCTTTAATTTCTGTCAGTTCTAAAAAATATTTTTAAAGATAGATATTAAAATCACTTTAAGCCCCATGAGAAAATTCCAAGGGAAAAACCAAGAAGCTCTTGGCTTCCTCCATCTCCGGTCTCAATCTTACTGAATTTTTTTTCTGTGTAGATAGATGACGTAGGCCAGAGATACACCTTTGAAGTAGAAGACTGTGCATTCTAAGCTGTAGGACCCTGATGGGCTTGCCCTTACCATCCCACCCTACAGTATGTTTAAGCAAACCTCAGATTTTATATAATTTCATCTACACCACGATAACTCCCCTATCAGGCACAAGTCCCCAGCTCATATATGTGCTCATCTTACCTTTGCCTCATTAGCGGGATATTAATGCAGTTAGCAGCAGCTACCGCAGCAAAGGGAACAAAACGTCCTATCAGTGGTGAGACACGCTGTGGAAAAGATAATTCCAGAAGAAGCATCATCTCATTGAATGGAAATTCTTACGTCTTCTAAAAATACTGCAGCCCTGGCCGCACAGAGCCAGGCCCAGGGGTCTGAAACTTGTTGCTTAGAGGTATTTCTGAATCTCTGGTGAGGACATACTGAGACAATGCACCCATCTAAGACACTTGGATAGCTTAGTTCATGTGGCTGGAAGCCACATGTCCCAGAACTTTGATTTCAAAGCCAGCTCTTCTACCTTTTCAAGGCACCCCCCTCCCCAAATTTCAGGAGAGTCTTTTAGAGAGAGGCATTTAGAACTTAATGCGTAGAGCCAGGAAGAGACCAGCTTGGCTGATGCTATTAGTTACAACCCTTCTCCAAGCCACTAGAAGATAAAATTAAAATATGCAGCCAAAGATGGCTACAAGAAAGCCAAAAGGCTGCAGCTCTTTCGAGAAGTGACAGAGGCACCCAGAGTGACAGGTGAGAACAGGCTAAGATGCTCTGCCGTGGAGGTAAAACTAATTACCTTGGTTAAGGCATTGAGTCCCAGGGCTGTCGCTACAGCACCGGTTGTTGCAGACACATAAGCCGTACCCAGCTCACTGAAAACAACAAAGACAGCACGTAAAATGATGGGTGTATGACAGGGATCACGAGCATATGATCTGAAGAAACTGAGGAGGCAGAAGTGTATTGCAATGGAGAGTCTGCAGGGTAACTCTGAGATCACTCCATCAGTGTAGGAATCCAGAGGGAAAGCAAACACATCCCTAAGATGGGCTACTACTCCAGACAGACAGACAGACAGACAGACAGACAGACAGACAGGAGTGGAGCTGTGAGTGTGTAGAGAGCTCAGACAGAGGAAAGGCTCAGGACTAAGTGTTTGGGTCACATTTGTACAAGTCAAAAGCAAAGTGCAACAGGACAATCTTAGAAGGTTATTTCACTGTATAAAAACAGTCCAGCTGAGCTGGAGCCACCACTGGGGGATGGGGTTTGCAGTTTCCACGTCCTGTGCTCCATTTGATAACAGCAGAATACTGGGCATCAAAGGCCATTTTCAAAGATAAACAGGAAAATGACTTCTGCTCAAGTGTTGTGCAAATTATATCTATAGTCTTAGTTAATCTCAGCTTGACAAATGTACATACACACACACATTATATGTCTCTCTATACACACATAATACAATATATATACAATTTACTCACACACGCGCGCGCGCGCACACACACACACACACACACACACACACACACACACACACACACTCTAAAACAGGAGACAAGTTCATAAGTTCATTGCTTTCTTTGGACTCCAGCAATGAGGTGCTTTCATAGTAAAGTTACTACAAAGGCCATACCACTGTGTAAGCCCCTTCTGCTTTGAGGCTGGTGGCTTTGCCTCACGCAGGCAGCCCTGAGGGGAGTTATTCAACAGAGGACAGGCCTGAGGGCTGCCTGGCAGGCATTCTGCAGCACCTCCCCTCCCCGGGATATAAGAGAGACGGCACCAACCCACTAATAGCATAGATGACATCAGAGAAGGCAAAACAAAAGCAGAAAGCTATTCCAACAGAGGGAGGAGAGACTGCACAGAGCAAGCCATGTGTTTAAAGCATCGCTACTTAAGAAGCAGAGGCTCACAGAGAACAGTCAGCCCCGCAGCCTTACTTTACAGTGAGGGGAGCATCTCCGCTTCTGTTGGTGTAGTTGACAACAGCATTGAAGGACTGGTTTATCCACTGCCAGAAAAGCACGGCTGGTGTGGTCCTGAAACAGAGGAAGTTGTCACATGCCTTCTAGCACCAATGAGCCTCCTTCGACAGAAAGACAATGTTAGCCAGGCGGTGGTGTTGCAGGCCTTTAATCCCAGCACTCGGGAGGCAGACTCAGCAGGAGGAAGCCAGGGCTGCAGACCTCTGAAGCCACAGACTGTCTACTTTGACACCCAGTTTCCTTATCACCAATCTCACAGGGTTTGTCTTTGGGTTTCTATTGCTGTGATAAACATCACAACTAAAATCAACTTAGAGGAAAGAATTTATTTGGCTTCACTTCCATATCACAGTCCATCATCAGAGGAAGTCGGCAGGAACTAAGGCAGGAACCTCACGAGGAGGCCATGGAGGATGCTGCTTACTGCCCTGCTTCTCACGGCTTGCTCAGATGCTTTCTTATAAAACGAGGACCACCAGTCCAGGGATGACGCCACCCACCATGGGCTGGGCCCTCTCTCATCAATCATTAATCAAGAAAATGCCTGACAGTCTTGCCTACAGATCAGTTTTATGATTGAAAGTCTCTTTCCAAATGACTCTAGCTTGTGTCAAGTTGGAAAAAAAACAAAACAACAACAACAAAAAAACTAGCCAGAACAGTTTCTAACATGAAGAAGTAAATTTATAAAAAGTCTAGCACAGAGTAGACTGTAGGGGTCTCTCTGACCACACCTCGTGGGGCTGGCTACAGGTGTAGCTGGCCACACCCCCTAGGGCATGGACAGGGGATATTAGGGTAGTTTGAGAGTCAGGGACACAAGTAGAAAAGCCCCTCTTCTTCCCTGCTGCTTTGGCTTGCTCTGCTTTCCTGTCAGTTGGCTAGGTAAGGCATTTTTCCCCAATAAATATCCTATTACCTGATTATGTATTGGTATTTAACTCTGATAGCTGGTGTCAGGAGTTTTTGAAGCATATGGGGCTGTCTACAGGAGGGGTGGTCAGAGAGACCCCTACAGTAGATTGAGAAGATCCCTTCTCTTGGGCAAACAAAACAAATTTGCAAGTGACACGGGCTTGGCTCTTCTTCTTCTTTTTTTTGTTTTGTTTTTGTTTTTCCAGACAGGGTTTCTCTGTGGCTTTGGAGGCTGTCCTGGAACTAGCTGTTGTAGACCAGGCTGGTCTCGAACTCACAGAGATCCACCTGCCTCTGCCTCCCAAGCACTGGGATTAAAGGCGTGTGCCACCACCACTTGGCAGCTTGGCTCTTCTTATGTCATGTTTATGTCTATTCAGACATCCAAACATATCTGCGTCTATAGAAAGAAAGAGTAGAAGAATTTGTTTCTAGACTCTTTTTTTTTTTTTCTATCTCATTTTCTTTAAGGCCTAAGATTTAGGGGAAATGTCAACTTCTTTCTAAACACAGTATCCTTTTAAAAAAGCTTTACTTATTTTTATCTCATGTGCATGAGTGCTTTGCTTCTGTATATGTATGTGCACTGTCTGCCAGAAGGTGCTGGATCCCCTGGAACTGAATTACAGACAGTTGTGAGCTGCACGTGGTCCTCGGCAAGAGCAGCCGGTGAATGCTGTGTTTTTTGTTTTTTGTTTTTGTTTTTAAAGATTTACTATATATACAGTGTTCTGCCTGCATGTATGTCTGAAGGCCAGAAGAGGGCACCAGATCTTGTTATAGATGACTGTGAGCCACCACCACTATGTGGATGCTGGGAATTGAACTCAGAACCTCTGTGATGGGGAATGTACTACTGTGTATCTTATTGATTGTTAAATAAAATACTGTTTGGCCAATGAGACAGCAAGTTAGACAGGACTAAGAGTCAAAGAGGATTCTGGGAAATGTAGTAGAGAAGTGCTGATCCATGCAGGAAGTGACATAGCAAGGAGACTCATATTTAAGTGAAGGAGAAACAGGAAGTGTCCCTTTTTCCTGTTTGCCTCCTCCAGCGGCAGGATGTGAGCCACCGGCAAGGAGGGATGCCAATAAGGCATCCGATAAGATAAGTCTTATAAAATATATAGATGTATGATAATTGAGACTGAGCTAACAGATGAGAATCCTAGTCATTGGCCAAGCAGCTTTGAACCTAATACAAGTTTCTGTGTTTTCATTTGGGCCTAACTCGGGCAGGCGGCTGGCATAAAGCGCACATGTGGCAGTGGGGCTCAGGCGGCATTTGGCAGAAAGATTTATCGTAACACCTCTGGAAGAGCAGCCTGTGCTCTTAACCTCTGAGCCATCTCTCCAACTCCCAGTGAGTGCTCTTAACGGCTGGGCCACTCCACAGCCCATGATTTACCATCATTAGAGGCAAAACACACCTTTAAATACAATGGATGTGGTTTATTTACTTACTTATTATTATCATTTTATTTGTTTGCTTTATATTGTCTGCCCAGAATGATCTCAAACTCATGGCCTCCAAAAGCTGGGACTCCAGGCATGAGACCCTGTGCCCAGCTAAGACACATGTTTATTTCACGAATCATGCCAGGTGCTACTTAATAGATTAGAACTAAAGATGAAATGACGCCTTTCCTAATGTTAAAGCAACAACACCTCATTTTATTACTTTCTTTGGTTGTTGTTATTGTTAGGTTGAGACGGGCGTTAGCTGGTAGCCAGGCTGGCCTCACACTCACAACCCTCTTAAGACTCCCAAGAGCTGTGGGTACAGGCAAGCCACACCACCACCTCATCTTATTTTCAGCTGTTGTAAGTTCCACTTTTAATTTAAATTTGTATTTATTTTGTATGCATGTGTAGGTCAGAGGATGACCTGCAATAACTGGGCTCTCTCTAGCCACTAAGTGCTTCCCGGATCGAACTGTGTGTTCAGGTTTGGCACTGGCAAGGGCCTGTACTTACTCAGCCATCTCGACAGCCCTGTATTTACTGTTTTTTTTTTTTTTTCTGGATATATTTATGGGGTACAACATGTTTTGACACACTGTAGAATGAATCGCTCACTCTTGTTAACATAATCACTGTGACATTTGTTTCAGTAAAATTTATATTAACATATTCTTCATATTATCTCAATAGCAAAGTAACAAAGCGCCCCAGGCATCTGCAACTTACCTGTAAAACGTCATCATGCAGCCGGTGATGGTCATGTTCATGGGGACCTGAGCCGACATCCTTCCTATCAGGATCATCTTCTCACCAGTGTCGGGATGGAAAGCCGAATCGTACACGTACTTCGCTCTCCACAACTCATTTTCCGTGAGGCCGGCAGGAATGATTCCTTGTCTAGAAAATGAAAACAGAAAGAAGCCCCAGCAATTGCTCCATTCAGGCGTTTGCCATGAACTTCATGGCTTTTGAAGCCTCACTGTGCCTACAAGGAGCTGGCAGGTCTGTTAGAGCGCTGGTGGTAATAATTATTTTTAAATTGTTTATGTTTTGGGTGCTGGGGGCCGAACTCGAAGCCTCATACACACGGCATGGGCTCTGTCACTGGTCTTCCTGGCAGCCTGCAGCACAAGAACAAAACACCACCACAGTGAACTTGAGACCCTTGCACCTCAATTATCTGCAATTTGGAAAACAACAGAAAGCAATATTCACATCAAGGAGTATTCAACTTGAAAATATTAATCGTTTTAAGTGACATATTAATATTGTAGTCTGAATCTGGCACACTCGGAACAACTATTTTTAACCAACCGGACCAAAGTTAGGGCACTCAAGGTTGTTACTTCATTTTAAACCTGCAGTTGGCAAACTTTAGTTTGGGACCCTTTGGTACAAATAAAGAGCTTGGTGTGCAATTTGTCAGATTTTCTCATCAAAGAAATACTCATTGTCAGAGATTTAGAAAATATACAAATTTAGTGGAGCATTAAAGCTACCCCCGGGCCTATCTGCTGTTGCCACTGGCAACATTTGGGCAAATACTTTTTCAATTTTCCAAGGTGTTTAAGGCATGACCCCAAATCAGAGGCTCCCTAACCATGGTTTTTATTCAACAATACTTTGTAAATATTTTTTCGCTTGTTTATATAACGTTCTTCTAAACCATCTACATTGGGTTGAATGGTAATTCCTATATGCCATGTCCACATAGAAGAACAGGGTTGTGACTTTATAGACATAATAAGCAAAAGTGAAGTCCTATTGGATGAATGGTCACTAAATCCAAGGATGTCCCTACAAGTTAGGGGACGACAACAATTCCCAGAGGCACCAGCACCCAGGAAGAGGCAAGGCAGATCCTTGCTGAAAGCCTTCAGAGGGAGTGTGAGCCTACTGTGCCATGACTTAGACTTCTAGCCTCCATACTGGGAAGGGGGCAGGCACGTTGTCCTCTAAACACTATACAGATCATTCCACAATGTGAGTCTTATTGGGGATTTTAATTTTAGTTTGGGATTTTAATTCTTCCACTTTTCCATTTGTAAATTCGGGACTAAGCCTTCATAATTAAAACTCTTCCCCACAGCCAAAATTAGAGATAAATGAGTAAATTTTCTAAAGTGACAGCCATGTAAAATATGAGATGTTTTTATGACTGTTATCCTTTGCACTTGAGTCTGAGTTTGTAGGATGTGGAGGAAGCCCCGAGAGGATGTACATGACTAAGACCAAAGCAATTGGCAAAGCCAGATCCCCATATGGGCCAGGCTCAAGAGGGATGGCAAAGAACAGGTCCCAGTGTGAGTGGCCAGGGTGTGCAAAGATTAGCACCTGGGCTTCCTCCTCCAGGATGTTTAGAGCCTCAGAGTCATCAACAGTGACTCCCTACCTACCACAGCCAGCCCCTCCTCTGTGCTGTACCCAATAAACACCCGAGGTGCTGGGTTGCCTGGTAGGCGTTCTCCATCACAGCCCACATCACCACCTGATCCCAGCTGCCCTGTATCTGTGTCTTTTCTTCCTTTCCTCTCTGCCCCTAGTTAGGGTTCCAGAAACCAAGCTGTAGGTTGTGGCCACAAAAACTATGTCTTTTGCCTTTTGCTTTTGAGTCTGAGTTTGTCTTAAAAAGCAGCAGGAATTTATCATAAGGTATGTGTCTTAGTTAGGGTTTCTATTGCTGTGATGAAACACCAGGGCCAAAAAGCAAGGTGGGGAGGAAAGGGTTTATTTGATTTACACTTCAGCATCAATGTTCATCACTGAAGGAAGTCAGGACAGGAACTAAAACAGGGCAGAATCCTGGTGGCAGGAACTGATGCAGAGACCATGGATGGGTGCTGCTAACTGGCTTGCTCAGCCTGCTTCTTATAGAACCCAGGACCACCAGCCCAGGGATGGCACCATCCACAATACGCTGGGCCTTCCCCTATAGATCACTAATTGAGAAAATGATTTACAGCTGGATCACGTGGAGACATTTCCTCAGCTGAGGTTCCTTCCTCTCTGAGGTCTCTAAAGTTGTGTCAGGTTGACACACAAAACCAGCCAGTACAGTATGAGAATGTGAAATTGGCTTAGGTTTACCTCCTGTTGGCTGGTTTCTATCAGCTGAGGTGTGAGGAGCATTGGGCTTGATTTCTAGGCCTTTGCTGTGCCCTGCTTACATGCAGAGTGAAGACCACGCTCACCACTTTAACAACAGCCCTTCTTAACTGCTGGTGGGATAAGTGTTGTCCCTCTATTACTCTTCTTATGCCTTAGTTACAGTCACTATTCTTCCAGGAAAACCTTAGTTATTTTCTAGGTCTTCTAGGTGATCACAGCTGTACTAATGGGAACTGTTAATAGGAGAGAAATGTTGCCTCCATAGTACGGAGACTTTCTTTGTAGCATGACAGCTACAACTATAACTGTCATATACTTCTGAGTAAGAGTGTTCCCAGCCCCCTCCACACTTAAAAATTTAAATTATTTAGCAGTGTCTCTGTGTAGGTATGCTCACACGAGTGCAGGTACCTGCAGAGGCCAGGGGTGTTGGGTCCCCTACAACTGGAGCTAACAGGTGTTTATGAGCTGCCCAACACGGATGCTGGGTACTGAACTTCAATCTTCTGCAAGGTTAGAGTGCAGACTCTACCTCTGAGCCATCCCCTGCTCCTATTTTGTATTCTGAAGTGTTGTGATGAATGTGAACTGCTGTCGCGGTGCTTTATGGGATTAAAAGCAGACCCTCTCATCAGATTGTCTTGTTAGAGGTTTCAAGTTGGTTAGGATATTGTTAGTTGCGAAATGCAATTGCTCCATCTTTTTAATATCTCTAGTCTTAGTTTCAAAGTGTTTCTGAACAGTGAAGATTAAGGCGCCCTGACTTGCTCTTATCCTCGATGCCACGGGGTACTCACGCTTTCCTGAATGTGTTGCCGTGGACGTTAATAGAGGTCACAGGGAGAAGGGAAGGCCTATGTTCAAGTTTGGGAAAATGGATTAAAGAGTCCTACAACCCTAATGCCTAAATATTTTGGAAACTGTAAGCAAAGAGGAGTGAATGTGGAAGGCCGACTGTCCCCCCCATAGGGACTGTCCCCCCCATAGGTGGCGTCTCCTCTCAGCTGATAGAGTACATCTCATATTGACATCTCTGAACTCCCCCCATTTGAATACTCATCTATAAAGGCTTCCTCACCAGGACTGTCTCTCAGCAGCAATGGCCCTACCCCTAGTTCTCTGGGGCCAGTTTCTAGAACACTGTTGTTTCTATGCAAAGACAGAAAGGTGCCTGGGACAGTAGTGTTAGAGAAAAGGTACAGGATGCCAGGGAAAGAGACCTCACAGACAGGTTACCACGCAGCAGTCAGCTCTGGCTGTCTGTCTGTGGTAAGGGTCAGCTCTGGCTGTCTGTCTGTGAGAAGGGTCAGCTCTGGGGATCTACTTGATCTCCCTATTTAGTCTTTGTTTTGGCAAGCACTCGTTTACTGCAAAATCATGAAGCACTTTAAAAGCAACATGGCGACCATTACACGGCAAGCCAGGAAACACATCAGCACTACCTGTAATCATGCACCACTTTTCTTGCATTCTCTAGTTGTTCGTTTGTTAGAAGGATGTTCCTAGGATCCGTGACAGTGAAGAAGTGATTGGCTCGGCCAACGAAAGTACTTTGGTCCCATCGAGGCTCTTTGATGTTAATGTTGGGTGGCACTTCCCCAGACATTGTCCCAGATCCTGAAAAGGGAAAGACCAGTCAAGTGAGGTGATACTGTTACTACAAGCAAGGTATTTGGCAGTCACACTCAACCTGCGTGTAAAGACGGCTCGGTGGGTAAAAGCTCTAACACACTCGCATGGTTACCTGTGCTCTACTCCTGGAACCTACATCAAAGGGAGGAGAATCAACCCCACAGGAGTGCCATTGACGTGCTTACGAGTGCTCCCATATATCACATACATACTCACTCTCTCACACACACACACAACACATTGTAAAAGCCACACAAAAATATGTCACAATATTTAAGTAAGTTTTGACTTCCATAGCTACCATGGGGTGTATACAGCCCCCAAGCTGCAACCTGGAACCCCTTTAAACCAAAGCGAGCTGTTCATAAACCTCAATGCATCTCAACCAAACTTCAAGAATTTGCCATATCTCTCTCCTCCCTTTTCTGTAGGAAAGCCAAAATTATTCTAGATAAGATAGAAACACAAAGTTTTAAAGTAACAAGGGCTGGGATGATGGCTCAGTCCATAAACTGCCTGCCACACAGCAGGAGGACCCAGGTTTAGATCCCTAGGGCTCACTGCCAGTCTGTCTAGCTGTTAGGTCCATGCTCAGTAAGGGACACTGTCTCAAAAGAATCAATGGAGAGTGACGGAGGAAGCCACCTGATGTCAGCCCCACCTCCATGTATATGGACCTTTGAGCTAAGCAGTGAATGTCAACGATACTGTGTTCTGGTCTAACAAATGTCATCCCCACTGGAAGTACCTGATGATGCACAAGATTATAAATCTAAAAATAATGATAAATAATGTTAGTGATTATAAAACGGAAAAAGAAGGCAGATCCTTTCAGCCTGTTCAACGCATAAACCACGAATCAAAAATTAAAAATCATTGTCTTCAGTTTACCGGAAGCATGCAAACAACCAGCCCTGACAGCCCCACAGAGCAAGAATGGCGCTTTCCCCTTCCTTCAGGGAATGCCTGCTTTCTGGTTCACGGCCATTACTTTATCCAGTGCTCGCTCACTTATTTCTGAGTTCTACTGTAACTTCAGAACCGCACTGTAGTGTTTTACCACTTGCTTATGGTATGCTGAAAGCCACAAGCTTATTATGCAAATAACAAAGAAATAAAATTTCTACAATCCAGTCTCTTTAATAATTATTACTGTCTCCAGAAAATTCCTTTGCTGGAAAGCTTTGCAAGTATAAAAATAATTTGGTAGCCTTTTAAAGTCTATTTATTTTAGAGCTTCATACCTGACTATATCCATTCCTCCAGTCTCTCCTGCGCCCCCCTCTTCATTCCCCTCTCAAATTTATGAGCTGCTCTTCTACAGTTATACAATATATATATGTATATATAATATGCTACATATAAACATACTGAGTCCAGTCACTATTACCCATATGCACATGGGTGCAGTGCAACCACTTGGGCATGGGCTACTTATCCCATGGTTCCCCCTTCAGCAGCTGACAGCACGTTCAGCAGGTCCACCCCACCACAACCCACTGGCTCTTACAATCTTTCCACCGTGTCCCTGGATGTTCACTTACACTTACTTCATGAAGTCCCTCCGATCTCTATTCTGGACCCACAGTAAACCTTTGTACCTCTATGCTTAGCTAGTGGCAACCTCCATTCTCTGACCCTTGGGCAAGCTTTATTCGTACAAGAAAGATATCACCACAGGATACATCATGTGGAGAGTTTTAACACACACACACACACACACACACACACACGCACACACACACGCACACAGACACACACACAGACGCACACAGACGCACACAGACACACACAGACACACACAGACACACAGACACACACAGACACACACAGACACACACACACACACACACACACAGGCTTTCTGAGGCAAACACTCTAAGTCTGGACAAAGTTGGCCGGACACGTGACTCAGAGGGTGTTCAGGGCACAAACCTCCAGCTTGGTGGGCAGGCACTGGCCATGGTCTACACGAGACTGTCCTGCTGATGCTTCCTTCCTGCCCTCCCTGTGAATCCCCTAGGTTGGAGTGAACTGTGATGTTCCCTGGGGGGACACAGGAGACCTAATTTTTCTCTGTAGCACTCTTTGTCCTTTATGCTTAAAACAAATAACAAGGCAAAAATTTAAAAGTAGCTTTCACAGAAGTGCAGCCCTTAACAACAAACTATGTACAATGTATTAAGTACAAGCAACATTTTGGCTACATTGTCACCAACATAATGCCACTGTAATAGAATGGATACTTTGCGGCAGTATTGCATAAGAACTACACAGGATCTTACACACGAGTTGTTCAACAAGTTCACCATATAGACAGGGAAACTGAGACTCAAGGAAAGGAAATATTCTGTCCAGTCAAATGGCTGAAGGTGAGAGGGACCCCAGGAGGCTGGCCAGCAACATCACCTTTTCTCACCAGCTTTTTTAAAGGACAGTTAAGTTAATGTCTATAAAGCACTGGTGTCCCTGAAGTCTCCTTTGTCCTTGTCCACGATACTGTCTATAGAGCACTGGTGTCTCTGAGGTCCCCTTTGTCCTTGTCCACGATACTGCAAGGCCTCCAACATCAGAACCTCACAGAGTACAAGATGGAGCCACAGGAACACTGCAGAGGCCCCACCAAATGTCCCCTCTAAGGACAAAGATGGGCCAGGAAGTGAACGTTTTTGTGTCTTTTAAACACAGGGATAATTGTGGATATTTTAAGAACACACGCTCTCCCCTCAGGCCAGTGCTAGAGTAAGTCATTCCCCCTAACAGCTGTGTCCTTTCCATGCAGTACGAATATCGTAACAGATGGAAGATTCTAAGAGGCCACTCCCAACCCACAGAGGAAGGGGGGAAGCATGGCAGCTTTGCCTGCACAGTAACTTTCACACTCCAGGTTCAACTGCCAAACCTCAGAAACCACAAAGCCTCATGGATGGCCTTGCTCTTGGGGGCAGAAGAATGGCCTCCAAGGTGCATACAGCCTGGTCTCCAGAAGTGACAAATGCTGCATCCATGGTTCTGGAGCTTTGCTGAGGGTGTCAGCCCTGACCGTGAGAAGAGGGGATGACTTGATTATCTGAGGAGGTCCAGATCACAATAGGAGCCGGATAAATGGACACAATTACAAGCTGGAGGTGAAGGGAGGCTGGAAAGGCAAAGGCTCCTCCCAGGGCCTCCAGGTGGAAGGCTGACCCAGTCAGCCTGCTGACCTCCAGCACACTAAGAGAAGTACTAAATGTGTGGTTTGCTAGTGTGGCAAAGGGGACAAACAGGGCTCCATTCCCTCACTCTGAGTCCAAGTAGCTCTCTACTGGCACAGACTGGACACAGTGACCCGTGCTTCCCACTCCCAGAAAAAGAAAGGCCACCAGACTACTCAGCAATGCCACATCAGAGTCCTCAGAGACAAGGCTGATAACAAGCCAGATAAAACTTAATTATTTACTCTGATCAATTACACAAGCTTCCTTTTAAGTAGGAATTTCCACCTCCAGGCATAGCTTTCACTTTCTTCACTTGCATTTTCTCCAGGAATTGGTTGGTTTTTATAACCATCCTTCCTGCCTCTTCTCCCACCCCCACGCCCACCCTGACTCCCAAGTTCACCTGGGTCAGCCATGGGCAGGAACAGGAGCTGCTCTTGTACTTGGTACCCAGGAACAATGTGTATCAGGGGGAGGAGGAAGCAAAGCTGAGATGTTGCTTGGGCCAGCTTCACTCTGAGTCAAGAGAGGGCTAAGGAAGGGGGTTGCTGCCTGGGATTGTGGGCATACCTCTGTCCTCCTGCCCATCTGGTCAGACCACAGCAGCATGAATAACTAGCAGCTGGATGGTGGTACAGGGTACCTGGGTTTGTGGCCTGAGGGATGTTTGGAGATGGCTGCAGGGGTATCTACCTGGCATGCTTGATCCCGACTGACTGGGAGTGCCAGCCACGCACATATCTTTGGAGAAGAAGTGAGGTTGTTGTGAGGAGCAGGATATGGGTGGGGTGGGTGAGGTAGCAGGATTCCTGAACAGGCTAGCATGCAGAGAGCAGCTGTCCAACCGTCATAGACTTGTCCTGAAGGTTGAGACTGGGCAAAGTTCAAACCACTCTTTAGAGAAGTATTCTTGAGCCAGGAAACAAGAGGTTCCTGATGGTCAGTGGTCCTGGTTCTTCAGTCAACTGGGAGAGGCCACTGCCTGCCTGCAGTGGCAGAGCTGTTGCTCTGCCTCAGGCTGACACTGGAGACAGCATGGATGGTCATGTAGCCACAGACAGTTCAAGATGTTGGAGGGGATACACATTCTCCAAACTGCAGGTGGAGGCAGAGATAATGAAAAATGCCATACCTCAAAAGAACAGATTATATACGATACCAGAGAATGTTCAAGAACATCTCAACTTGATATACTGGAGGCAAGGGAAAGGTGCCCCAGGGAGACAGGAGACAAAGGACTGGGAGTACATTCTCTTTGCTAAGTCTACCGGAGGCTCTGACAGTTCTCCAGACTACTAAAAATGAATCACTCTAGACAACCAGGAACATTAAAGGACCACACTCCATGCCCGTGGCAGTGAATACTGCAGGCAGAGGAGGCACCCATGGCATTATCGGCTGATAGGAGGACTGAAGATGGTGAGCACTGGTACCGGGTTCCCATGCCACATGGGGAGATTTCTCGTGTTTCATGGTCTGAAGAAATCCTGGGATAGGGATCAGTGATGCAATCAAGCTAGCTCGCCTGCAGCAGACACACCAGAAGGATGACTTGGGGCAAGAGGCCTCATTGTGCACTTCAAAAGCTGAATTGTAACTTCTGGATTTTTGGTCAATTGGGGGTTAATTGTGACTTGACAACACCGGCATTAATTCTTACTAAAGGATCTTTTTTAATGAGTGATTTTAATACTTAGATTTGGCACCTTGGTTTTCTAAAAACACCCGTTTCTATGAGAGACAAAAAGTGAGATTTAAAACTTTTCTTCTGTAGTTCACTAAGAAGCAAAGGGATTTCAAGCCATTTGCCTATGAATAACCATTAACTTTTACTAGTCATCCACTCTCAGTCAGCCTCATAGACAATTTAGGTTGTCAGCTATCGAGACCATTAGTAATTATAGCATTATGCTGCTTTTAGAACTGGAATTACAAATGGTGTGAGCTGCTGTGAGGCTGCTGGGTCCTCAGCAAGAGCAATAGGTTGTAGGAGGCACAGATGTCCTTGCGCTCACAGATAAGCAGAAGGGAACCAGCAATGTTAAACATGCAGTGTCCTCTCTTCAAAGAGACACATAACCCGTTGTCTGCCCAAAAGGCTGGGAGTGAAGATGGTTTACAGGCCGATGCCCTTTGCACTATCTGTATGACCAAGACCATGCCAAGTCCCCCCCAGACTCTTAAGATGCCATATATAGTCAATCTATAGCATGCACCTTTCTTTTTCCTTTTCTTTTTAAACTAGTTTTACATTCCAACCCCGGTTCCCCCTCCTTTCCCTTTTCCTGCCTACCCTCATCCCTCATCCCATACCCTCATCTACTCCTCAGAGGGGATAAGGCCTCCCTTGGAGAGTCATCAAAGTCTGGGATACTAAGCTGAGGCAGGACCAAGTTCCTCCCTTCTAAATCAGGCTGGGCAAGGTAACCCATCATACGGACTAGGCTCCAAAAAGCTAGTTCATTACCTGGGATAAGTCCTGGTCCCACTGCCAGCCTCCCTCCCCCTCCCCCTTCCCCCAAACAAATCAAGCCACATAACTGTCACCCACATTCAGAGGGCCTTAGTTAGGTCCCATGCAGGTTCTCCAGGTATCGGTCCAGAGTCCGTGAGCTACAGCTAGCTTGGGTCGGTTGGTGGTCTCTGTGGTTTCCCCCTCATGATCTTTACCTGACTTGCTCATATGATCTCTCCTCCCTCTCTTCAGATGAACTCCAGGAGCTCAGCGCCGTATAGCACTCACCTTTAAGGAAGATGTCACATGTACTGTGCAAGGAATTTCTATGTAGTCATGCCTTAAGCTCTGTTGTGCACATGGGATTGAGTTAATTGTCACCAGAAAACTTTCCCCAAAATTGTACTGTGCTTAAATATGCCTACAGTAAACTATCAGGTGTCAGGCTCTCAAAGTTGTGCTGAACATGACTTCCTTCTTGCCTCACTCAGATTCTCTGCTGGCTCTGGTGTTTGCAGCGACACCCACAATAAGTGCTTAGTCATAAAGGTAACCTTTTTAGTTTTGTTTGTTTGTTTATCCATTTTGCACGTGTGTGTGTGTGTGTGTGTGTGTGTGTGTGTGTGTGTGTGTGTGTTTAAGTGCACACCCACATACATGAACATGGAAGGCCTGGTGCAGAGGTCAGAGGACAACTTGCAGGAGTTGGGACTCTAACTCAGGCTAAACGCTAGGTACCTATTGAGTCACTGTGCCAGACTTCAAAAACAGCTTTCAAAGGGGACAGGAACTTTCTTAGTGCTAACGTTTAATCTCTTAGTCAAGGTTCATGAAATTCATTAACCAACACAATTAACAAATGCAGCCAAAGCCCACTGAGGCTTTTCACTGGCCTGGGCTCATCTCCAACGTTCTTAACATGCAGAACATCAAGTTGAAAAGCAAACACATTATAATGGAACATATCCTACATTAATCTCTTCAAATGTGCACGCAGAGACCCTTCACACAGCAAGCTCACTGTGCCTGGGCCTCATCCAAGCCTGCTGAAGAGGTACTGTCAGACCACTAAAACAACAAACCTTGTTGGAGACTGGGCTAGCGCTGACTGGTGTTTGAATCCACACACACTGCTCTAAAATACTCCTCATGTCCATGGGCTCAAGCTGATTTAAAATTTACATCAGCCAAGTCACATGCAAACCAGAATGAGGAGCACAAAGATGACGACATCCTCACACATTATACAGTGAGGCCGATGGCTGGGTCAGCTCACTGCCAGCATCAGCTCGCAAACTGAAACAATGACTGAGTTAACTTGCTCCTGGCACTTAGAAACCTGTTTTTCATCATTTCTGTCTGGATACTCTAGCCAAAGAATTATAATTAACCAA